GCCCTGGGGCTCTATCACCTTCTATGAGGGTCATTTCTCTACAGGGAGGAGGCACTTACTGTATTGAGTAAATGAAATAAAATGAATAAATGAAATAAAAGACGAAACCCCACTCCAAGTCTTGAATCTTATAGACACTGAGTGGCCAGATTATGATATCTCTGAATACATAATAATCTGGCCACTCAGTGTATATCCTATATAATAAAAGGCTAATATGCAAATTGTACCCTTGGCCAGGAGTTCGACCAGCAGGTAGGCTGGCCGGACCCCACACAAGCACAAATTCATGCACCAGGCCTCTAATATATATATATATATATATATATATATATATATATATATATATATATATACACACACACACACATATATATATACATATATATATATATATATATATATATATATATATATATGTATATATATATATATAAAACAAGTGGCCAGATTTTTATGCGTTCAGAGGTCATAATAATCTGGCCACTCAGTGTATGCACATCTGAAAACAAATGTGCCAATAGAAGACAAGAAAAAGGGGATGGCATCAATAGAGACTGCCATGTCCATACAATGAAGAGCTTTAGTGAGAAAAATTATTTTGCAAATTGGATTCTATCGCTAACATGGGATGTCTGCCATGGGAAGACTCTGCTACGCAGGAGTTCATGTTATTTGAAGGACGCGATGGTCAATATCAAGTCATCTGCCAAACCTACGGCGTTTTCGCTGCCTGCTCAGCCTCTTGGGTCCTCCTAGACCTCATGCTCCCACCATCCCGGGAATGACGGCCCTGCCTCTGAGCATCTGGCCACCCCACTGCGGTGCCTGGAGCAGAGAGGCCTGCGCCCCAGAGAGCGGACAGGCCCCCTGTGCCTCGGACCCTTTCCCCTATGACTCTCTATTTCCCAAAACTGATTCTTCCTGTTGGTTTTGGCAGGAATCAGCAGTTGCTTCAGTCCAGTGGAGGTGGGGGGTGGGGCCTAGACAGCCAGTCCGGCCCCTCCTGCTCACAGTTTCTTGGGTGTACGACTGAACAAAGGGCCAGGCCTGGGCTGGGAGAGCAGGATTTCCCCGGAGAGCTGGCAGGAAGGGGTACTCCCTGGGGCTAGCTGGGTTTCCAGCTCCTAAGATATTTAATTTTCTTCAAGCCTGCAGACATACAGGGCTCCTGGGAGCCACGCCAGGCTGAAGAGGGGAGGCAGAGAGAAATGGCTTCAAAAAAGAAAGAAAAGAAAAAAAGAATCTTATCATGTCACCACTTACAGGGCAAGGAATCCGGAAATGTTTGGCACCACTGAGCAGAATGTAGGGTGGGCTTGCGGCCCAGGAACACGGGGGTGGGTGACTTCATAGCCAGGATCCTCCCGCTGTCTACCTCCCAACGCTTCCCTGCCCCCTTCTCCTCCCCTCCACCCTCCACGCCCCACACTCACCAAACAACCCTAAAATTCAAAAATAAACAAATCAGGCTTCTTCCACTCCCTCTCCAAGCCATTGCTAACCCATCGCTTCAGAACAGCCAAGGGCAAGTGCCGCCTCCTGGGTGAATTCTCCTTCAAATTACCGAACTTGACAACTAGATTTGACTTAGACCCCAAAGCCAACGGCAAACCAGCACAGACCCCCTGGGCCAGACTCCCAGAGGATCAGGCCGGGGCTCAGAGAAGACATCTGCTTCCTGCCAGCTCACGCCAGCGTCGCCTCGCGCTGTTGGTAAGCGGGACAGAGTCGTGAGTTTTGCTTGGGGCGAGGGGCACAGGAGGCAGTGTGCAGATGAGCTTTTATCGGCATGTACACAGGAAAACCTGTATGGTTTCTCGAACCAATGTCATCCTCACACATCATCATTGCATAAGCCCATACCTATTGTTTTTACCCCCTTCCTTCTCTCTCTCACTCTCTCTTTTCTTCCTTTAACTGTTACCCAATTATTAGAGGGAGCTATATTTTCCTCCCTTATATGAAATAAATTTGATTGTTTTAAAAATAAGAATCGTGAATTTTATTAGGACCTCGGAAGACTTGGTTTAACAGAGTACAATCCCTAAAGGCTGATTTATTGAATACTTCTATCCGGCACGAGATTGGCCCTTCCCCGGAGTTGTGTCATTTAACCCTCACAGCTGAGGGAGAAGAGGACATGTGCCCGCCCTGCCTGGGACCCTTCACCCATCCCCACACTCGCACGGCCTCCTAATGCCTCTCCTCCAGCCGCCTGTTGCTCTCCACTTCCTCCTCCACTGGGCGAAGTCTCGGTCATTACCAGGTTCCCAACTCCTCCGAAGAGGCTGACCTCTGGCTCTCTGGACATCCCCTCTCAGACCCTGACCTCTGAGTCATCTTCAAAGGTACTTGATTGGCTTTCTCTCTGAGCTTTTTCCAGCCAGGCCCCTCACAACTGACCCCTCACCCAGGCAGGGGACGGATTTGGCCACAACAGCACAGGGCTCCGGGGAGGAACTGCAACATATCAGAGATGTCACTGTCGCCTCCCTACAGTCAGCACCTCAGACATGGGAACGGAGCTGAGTGGAGAAGGACAGACAGACAGGACACCTCGCGATGACAAAGACACCTCCTAGGGTTCAAGCGAAGCCACGGCGCAACCTGTGTATGGGGGTTACACCCCCGCTGAGTTTGGTCCTTCGAAAGCGACCCTTCAGAGAGGGGGATGATGCCTGGGCAAGAAAGATGGTCCCTCCTCCCGAGTTCCTGGGAGCATGAGCTCACCAGCACCGCCTTGCTCACCACCATGAGGTGGACGGGCCCAGAATGAGCTCAGGGGGTGGAGTGGGTGACTCAGAAGCTCACGGCCATCACACCGGTTAGAACAGATCTCGCGCCTGCTGTGTAGACGGTAGATCTTAGAAGACATCATCTCACTGGATGGGTCTACAGCTTCCCTCTAAGCTCTCTTTCTGGTCTTTTCTCCATCCCCCTTCCCTCCTTCTTTTCCCCCTTCTCCAGCCTGACCTCCCGCCCCCTTCCCCGTTCACTAGCTCTTGTCCTGTCAAGCAGACAATGGGTTAAACACGCCCAGGACCGGGAGAGGCCAGGTCCCAGGGATGCAGGTGCGAACAGGGAGCGTGTGGGCTGGAATCTAGAATGACCTGTCACCATTCCAAGAGCGTCTTTGGGTGAGGAGTGATCGCAGACCTCGCCGAAGGTCTCCAGGGTGAGAAGTCCATAAATCTAGAGGCGGTGGGAGTCCATGGAAACTTAATTAAATGAGTTAATGCTCGGAGAGAGGGCTTTGGGACAATGCCTGGGACACGGAGAGCTGCATGAACGCTGTGAAATGAGTAAGAGTCTGGGGAAATGTGCATGTCAACGTCACGTGTTGGATGCACGCCAGAATCCTACATGGGGCCATCGGACCTGGGGCCTGCCTTCTCCCTGCCACCAGTCCTGAGGCCTTCTCTCCCCTTCATTTATTTTCTAATTATTATTATTTCACTATTATCACTTCTTTAAATATATTTTATTCATTTTCTACAGAGAGGAAGGGAGAGGGATAGAAAGCCAGAAACACTGATGAGAGAGAAACATCGACCAGCTGCCTCCTGCATGTACTCCCCACCAATGTACATGCCCTTGACCGGAATCGAACCTGGGACCCTTCAGTCTGCAGACCGATGCTCTATCTACTGAGCCAAACCGGTTTCGGCCACTATTATCATTTTTATTCTCTCCCCTTTGTGTCACTTCCTTCTCCCTCCTCTCTCTCCCGAAGACTCTGTGAGTTTGCCTACATGACTCAAAGATCCCTAGTTTTTCTGTTCTCGCCACCAAGCCTTAAGTCTCAAATCCAGGAAACACCTCTGATTTCCCTAAATCCCGTGTTGGGGTGGCATTTGCGTTGCCTTTGGCAGTGAGCACCCAGGCTTCATGCTAATAACCACCCAGCGCCGTGGAGTTGAGCTGTGATTCCAGGGATGCGCCGGGAGGCCCGTGCAATGTAAGCCTCCCCGTCCCAGACCCACTGGCGAGGGCTCTGGTCGGCTTTTCCACCGAGATCCCCTCTGGAAATCTCACGGGAAAGGTCGGCGTCATGAGAGGAGGTGAGATCAAGATGGACTACCGGTCACCACTGGCCCAGGGTGGGTCCCCTGCTGCCATAGGCTCCTGGCAACCAGGGCAACATTCTTACCGCAAAGATAATCACCCTGACCATCCTTCAGAATCAGAACTCAGGAACACTCTCCTCTTGTCAGTGCTTCAGGGGGAAGGGAGGAGCGTGGCTAAAGAAGCTGGAAACTCCCTTCACCCACATGTGCGCACCCCCCTCCACAGACACACACAAGCAGACCTCCCAGAGCGGCTGATTGCGCGAGGATGCTGCCCGGTGCGGGCTGCACGGAGTTAGAGCTCAGACTCTGCCCAAGGCCCTGCTGCTCGCCAGGAGAAGGGAGTGACAGACGCCGCTCTCCGGAGACGTGAGGAAAGATATGAGTCAGAAGAAGTGGGAGGGGAGTTGGCTCCGGGTCCGGGGGCCACTGTGCCAGCAGCTGGCTGGGGCTGACGGAAGAGCGGGGCGGGGGGTGTCCCTAAGGGGAAGCATATCACCGTCTCCAGCTGCCTTCTTTCTAACCCACTCAGATACTTCAGAAACATGCCAGACGCAGAGAGGTCACGTCTGGGAACCGGAGAGCCATCTCAGACACATGCCGAGTGCCCGTGCTGCGTCTCCTGCTGTGCTCGCTGCGGGCTGACCCGCAGGCCAGGGCAACGGGGAGGAGGACGATGAAGCAAAGGTGAGAACCTGGCTTTGGTGCAGCCGTGCCATGCCCTCTCCAAGTGAGAGCAGGTCCTAGGAGCCACCAAGATTTGCCAAGAAGCAAAGCAAGACTCAGAGAGGGTGAGGCGTCAGTCTCAGACACACAGCGGCCCAGTGCTGGGAAGAAGGGGTTTTGTTTGGGCCCCACGACAGTGAGGACAGAGCAGAAGATCTGGCGCATGAACCCAACACAGACCAGCTCTCGAGTGGGGACACTCACCTTCTTGCTGGTCTCGTCACTTTGCCACCCATGGGCTGTGTGATAGACACACGGGTGACCACCGCGACCATGCACCCACCTGGTGGTCTAGTTTCCAGGGTAGAGGCCAGCATCTGTGGCTAACGAGCCCGAATCCTGAGAAAACCAAAGAAAACCAAGTTAGTTGTTCGAACACATATCTGGGATGAAAAGTTTGTAAATCATATACCACGGGGCTGGTGAATCTTTGGGCTATTTATTATTATTATTATTTATTATTATTATTATTATTATTGAAAGAGAAAGAGACCCACAGCTGATATGAACACTGTACCTGAGTGCCTCAGAAAGGCATGCAATGGAATAAATAATCGGTGGTCCATCCAGACATTAGAATATACCTGGGCACTAAGAGAAATGAGCCATCCGGCCATGACAAGCAGCCGGAGGAAGGGGAATGCGTGCTAGTGGGTGAAGGAAGCCAATCCGAAGAGGCCACGTGCTGTGGGGTCCCCACCACATGGCATTCTGGGAAAGGCAAAGCTCTGGAGACAGGGAAACACAGGGACGCCAGGGGCTGGGGGAGGGATGGACAGATTGGACAGAGGGCTTCCAGGGCAAGGATCCTGCTCTGTGTGGTGTTTAATGGAGGATGCATGTCATCAGACGCTTGTCCAAACCTGTAGCATGTTCCACACCGACAGGGAATCTAATGCACACACGGACTTTGGGTGACACGACGTGTGCATGTAGGTTCAGTTAGAACCTGTGGCCCGCTCTGGTGGGGGCTGGTGGCAGCAGGGGAGGCTGTGCATGTGGGGGCAGAGGGGATATGGGAAACGCCTGGACCTTTCTTTCCATTTTGCCGTGAACCTCAGCCCTTCTCAAAATAAATTCTCCCAACAAACAAAACACCCTGGTAGCAGGAATCCAGTTCAGTTCAACCCACCTTTCATTGACTTGCTAATTTCACCCAAACAACGTTTTCCTCTCCCTGACATACTTGGCACGGTTCTGATTCTCCGCGTTCTGGTTTATGTTATGGGGTTTCCCAGAAAGATAGGCAGGGACCCCTGATGCTAGGATGTGTATCCTCCAATCGTGGTGCCCCCATGTCTACCACCACCATCACAAACAGGGGGGGGTGTGTGTGTGTTCTTGTTAACAAATGCACGCTCTGGGCCCAGGGGACCTGGGGACCTGCATTTTCACTGCTTCCCGCGTGATCAGGACGCACACAAGAATGTGATAAAAACTGCCTCGACACCAGAAAAGGCCTCTGGGAAGAAGTACGCCAGCAGGACCCCTGCGCCCTCAATGTTTGGCATCAAAACCTGATGAGAATGAGTATATAAGGACCGCAGGCAACAGGCTCAGAGCTGGGGGGTGGAAGGCTGGAGCGGACATGTCTCCTTTCTGAACAACCATCAGATCTCAAAACGCATGGTCACGCTGGCTTCCCCTCCGAGCCCATGAGCGCCGGGGCGACAAACTGTCAGATGCATCTGTGATCATCCCCAGCCCCGGGCCCAGAAGAGGCTCCATCAATGAGTGCCGAGCGAAAGCAGGAGGCTTGTCCCAGAGAAACCACGAGCAGTGACACTGCAAGAGCCCAGTTTGCACATCCATCCCCTGCGTGTGAACGTGCAGCGAACATTCGCAGGCCGGAGCGGGCGCCCCAGGCTGGGGGATCGCAGGGGACCCCGAAACGAAGCCAGGACACCGCTCACTGGCTGCTAAGGAGAGAGTGACCCCGGGGAACCGTTCTGCCTTCTGGAAACCAGGAACATTCTGGTTCCAGAAATCACAGCTCCAGGGAGCGCTGCCTGCTTGGGGTGGTGGCTCCGTTTCCAGGAGACCAAACTCAGCAGCGAAACAGACACCGAGGTCTCAGGGAGCGGGGCCCTGCGAGGCTGGGATACCACACGGACCTCCTCGGCCGCCTGGATGGAGTCCGTAAAAGGGTGCGTGGGGCCCACAGAGATCGGCTGTCCCCCAACATGTGCCCAGAATTTAAGTGCCCTGAATGCCATCCTTTTCGATTTTTTACAAATTCTTTTAAATGCCCTGGTCTGGGAGTTGATCCGGAGACCCTTCGGTGCGGAGGCGGATGCTCTGCCCCTGAGTCACACCGGCCAGGGCTCCCCTTGCTACACTTCTAAGTTCTTTCGACATCAGGCCAACTGGGATGGCGCACTCGCTCTGTCACTTCCCACCTGTAGGACCTCGAGCAGATGACCTCACCTCGTTGTGCCTCAGTTTCCTCATCTCGCGGGGGAGACAATGGCAAGTCTCCGTGTTGTTGTAGCGATTACACAGGAGCGCGTTTGTAAAACATGGGAGTGCTTAATTGGTGCAGGGTATTCCCGACCGCTGCACGTATGTAACTCCGACAGCTCTCTGTGCGCACAGCAGGCCGAAGGCTCCCAGCGGCTGCTGTACTAACCACACAGCTACGGAAGGATGCTCTCCTCCTGAGCTACGTGTCAGGCGAGGGGGTTCGGGGGGGAGGGAGGACCTAGAATCAGCCCCGAACTGCTGAAGCCAGGCACCTCCCCACCTCTGCACCCCATGCTCTTCCCTCCAGCCCCTAACATGTCCTACTCTGATATCTCAGTTATGTCAGTCCCCTTAAAGGGAAACTCTCTAATAAAGGTTGTGGGGACACAGTTGGCAGGGAGAAATCATGCCTCAGAACTTGAGAGTCCTGGGGGCCCCGATTCCTACTGCCCCAGGGGACACCTCACCCCAGCAGGGTCCTCCGCCCCAGTCGGTGGGCGCTTCTGAAACCCAGCGCCCGGGCTAAAGAGTTAACTAACCCCGTGGCAGCGGGATTTCTCCGTCCTCCATCCACAGGTCCCAGGGGTTGGGGCTGTGGGAGGCGGTACTATTCCGTGGCAGTTCCTCAGGCCCTTGGCCCACAGCCCACCGATCTCCTAAAGCCCTCTGTTCACGTCAAATTCAAATTTAATTAAGAAGCAGCGAGCAGAAGCGAGGCCTGCACAGCCCCCTCCCCTCCGGAGCCGGGAGCGCCAAGGAGATAAGCGTCCCCTCATGACACGGAGGGCTGGGGCCTCCCCAGCGCGGTCACCTGTGCAAACAGGCCAGCGATAAGTGGGGTGCAGAGGCAGGGAGATCTGGGGCTTAGCAGGGCTGCGCCTGTGGATGGTGGGGCGAGGGGAGTCATGGAAAGTGCCCCCAGAATATCCTCAACGAGAGCTACATCACCACTACCCCACAGGCACTTCCCCACCAACCCCCTACCCTCCCCACTCAAGGCCGGGCACCCGCTCTTCCCTCAAACTGGTGTGAATTCATAACCGATGCCTGAGAAGGACTTGGGGAGACAAAAAGACGAAGAACAGAAAGGAGGGCCCTGGCCGGTGTGGCTCAGTTGGATGGGCATCATCCTCTGCACCCAGAAGTTGCCGGTTCACTTCCTGCTCAGGGTACATGCCCAATGTCAGGCTCCATCCCCGAGGGGAGGGGGCGGGAGGCAGACGATGGATGTTTTGTTCTCGAGTTGATGTTACGCTCTCTCTCCCCCTCTCCCTTCCTATCTCTCTAACAATCAATACAAAATATTTGAGCCGAAACCGGTTTGGCTCAGTGGATAAAGCGTCGGCCTGTGGACTGAAAGGTCCCAGGTTCGATTCCTGTCAAGGGCATGCACCTTGGTTGTGGGTGCACCCCCAGCGGGGGGTGTGCAGGAGGCAGCTGATTGATGTTTCTCTCTCATCGATGTTTCTAGCTCTCTGTCCCTCTCCCTTCCTCTCTGTAAAAAAGCCAATAAAATATATTTAAAAATATATATTTGTAAACCAGATGGAAGGAAGAAAGCAGCCCAGCCCAGCTCATCCGACCAATCTCTGGAGCCTGGGCAGAGTGGGGCACGGAGAGGGACTGGCTAGATGATTGCTGGCCATTTCCAAGTGCGGTTCACCAGCTCCCCAGATCAGAACAGCCCCGGGTTCTGGGCGCTGCTGATCAATATGAACTCCAAGGCCTTCACCCAGACAGGACGAGACTGCCTGAGGGGCTAGGAAATTCACAGTTTAAGACATCCTGGGGGAGATTTTTTGACCACACATCTTAGGAGTCTGGGATAGTCTGGAACAGGGATTGGCAAATGACCACCCAGGGGCCAAATCTGGCCCACGGCTTAGCTTGTTTTGACAAATAAAGATTTATTGGCACCCAGCCACGCCCACTTGTTTACAGAGCACCTACTGCTGCTTTTGCCATACGATACAGAAGTTGAGTAATGGTGACCGAAATGTCTGCCCACCCCTAGCAGAGTGAGCTTCCGCCTGAGCAGGATGCTAGAATCACCGGGGCACCTCTAAACGTTACTGATTGGGGCCAGCCCAAAGCTGTTAAGGCAGAGTGGGGGTAGGGATGCGCTTAGGCATGGATAGATGTTTAGGTTCCTATGGTCTAAACGAGTGGTCAGCAAACCGAGGCTCGAGAGCCACATGTGGCTCTTTGGCCCCTTGAGTGTGGCTCCTCTGCAAAATACCATGTGTGGGCACACACGTACAGTGGGGTTGAAACTTCGTGGCCCATGCGCAGAAGTCGGTTTTCGGCCTGGGCGAGTCTATTTTGAAGAAGTGGCATTAGAACACTCAAGGGGCCAAAGAGCTGCATTGGCTCGGGAGCCACGGTGTGCCGACCACTGGACGAGACAAAGTTTGGAGACTCGCTGTGCAATGATAGGGCTGCAGTAATTCAGAGTTTTCCGCTGTCCCCTCCCCGATGGCGAACAACTCCCCCAAACAGTGATGGAGGCGCTTCTGGTGTGGATAAGACTCCGTGGCTGCAAGCTGAGCCCGCCACACCTTTCACAGGGCCGTGCCTCTCAGGGGTGCGCTGTCCGTTTTTGCCATGTGAGACTCAGCATGATCCCCCTCGGTGCCAAAGGCCCGCTCCCTCCTCAGGGACCAGCTTCAGCTGGCTCCCCGGCTTCCCGGCACTGGCTGGCCCAGGGACCACGGGTTGCATCCCCATTGCGTGGGGGAGCCTATCAGAGATCCAACCTCCCGGCCCATCCCCCCCACCATGAGGCCGGCTCCCTGGGCCGGGGCCTGGGAACGGGTTTTGTAACCGAGCCCTCTGGGTGGCCGCGGAGGCATCCGGACACGGGCCGCCCCGGG